TTACCAAAATACCTCGTATGTCATCCTAACAGAATAGGAATCACTTGGTAAATCAAATAAATAAGAAATAAAAATATATGCCTATTTTGTATTACTTTACAGCTTAAGAGAACGCATCAATCACTGAAGGTCTAGGTTACGACAACGGTCAGTGAGTCTCATATCCTTATCCTTCCGTGGTCCTGTTCAACACTTAACATAAGTGCTAGTGTAATCCTTCAGTCAAAGACCAACTGAATCGGGAATACACTACAGTCTTTTTCTAAGTGGGGTCTCACTGCAAGTCTAGACTGTGAACGAATAGTTTAGTCTTATAAGGAACCGATAGGTGATCTTTCCTTTTGAAACTCTTCGAACCACACTATCTCAATATAAGACATGGAGTATGTATTGCATAAATAAATAAACTGCAAACATATGTAATTTGACCGAAACATGATTGCCAGATCAAAATGGAATTGATAGAAACTGCAAAACACAGCTTTTACAGCATACCTCTAACACTAGATGGTTCCTCCAGCATATTTTCCAACCACAAATCGAGATCCTCAACCATCCCATCACTTGACTCACTGGGGTTAATAACCACTTCCGTACCACGCGCTCCTTGCGTTCCCGCATGTCCCCTCGCACGTGTGCCTGCCGTCGCCCGGTACTCCTACTCTTACGCGGTCTAGGCCATCGTCCGTGACTTCTACACTTGCGCAACCAACGCGCGCAGCATCTTCGCTGCCCGGCGTCCGTGCGTCCCAACCACCCTCGCGAGTGCCCCGCACGCCTGCCGTCTCGCCATCGTCATTGCGCCCCGTGGTTTCCCAGCGCGTCCCGCCTACGCTGGTGCTCCAATCCTCTACCGCGCACCCGCGTGCACCTGTCGCCATCCGCGTGTGCTCTGCCCCATCGCACGCATCAAGGCACGATGTGCACCTCTCGCTCGTGCTCGCCTCTCCATCGCCGATCGACTCCGGCTGCTCGCCCGATGGGCCCAATCCACCATGGCAGTCCTTAATCCGTACAAATGGCCAATTTGATGGACCCGGCTCGTCCCATGGGTCCCATCCTTCCACACATCTGCCTTCTGTTCCCGTCCAATCTCCGGCACGCCAAATCCAACCATCTTCCCTTCTTTGCTTACCTCGCCTTCAAGCTTC